AAGACTAACCTTGGTCCAAGTCAATTACTACCTTTGGAAATCCACAATTTATCACAGATACAAAGATAATTCAATTCATATTTCGAATATTCATCGTTGGAATTGATTCCTATTTTCCCTTAATTTTAGTTAATTAGAAATCAATATTCTAATTAACCCTAATTATTAAGTAACCCTAGATCAGCACTCAAGATTCAATTTAATAACTGCTTTACACAATAGAGAAATCGATGGACTAGATAACATAAATACTAGCGGTCGCATTCAATCTATTTAAATATTCTTCTTAACGTTCAATACCTCTATCGCAGAAAATCATCAAATCCTAGTACTTCACAAGTTAAATGAATCAAACAATTATGGATTTGATATTTAACTTGGCGGTAGATTGCAATGAATAATAAACTAGTAGGCCTCCTAGCAATTAAACATAACAATTATAAAAATAAGTGCAGAAGAATATTCAATACGCAAAATAAGAATTAAACAATAAGAAAAACTATTTAGATCTTACAATATGTGGTTCCAAGGCTTCAATTTCCTTCGACTAAGTGTAAAAGTTTAGTTACAATTCATGAATCTAAGAGAGAAATAAAGAAGAATGGAGTTTGGTTGCGTTCTCCTCGTTCTAGGGTTTTAAAATATGTATTTACAGTTGTTTCCATAGGTGGTTGACTTAAATTAAGAAACTAGAAATTTTTCCCCGAGCTGGCCTGGGCAGCGGCCCAGTAGAAAAGCTTCTGTTAATGAAGTTTAGGGTCGGGCGGCCGTAACTGGGCTTTCTTCAGTATTTTGGTCATATCTTCCTCTCCAGATATCCGATTGAGTTGATTCAAAATGCATTCGAAAGCTAACTAAGGGACTACAACTTTACTTCAGATACCATCTTTCAATTCGATCTTTTCCAATGTCAAAAGTAAGTCTCAAACTGAGATTGAAAATCCGATGCATAACTTTTCGATTGAAAATTGATTTGTGATCCTACTTTGACGACACTTCATCCATTTGACATCTTTCTTCATTCAATTGACTTCTAACACTTTCAAATTTTCATTGTGAGGTTCAACATGATTTTTGATTATTTGCACTTTAGTCCCTGAACTTTCACTTTCTTCCATTTTGGTCCATTGTCACTTATTTCTTCCAAATTACGTCATATCCGTCAAATTTCCACCTAAACCAAAATATGAGATTAATAAGTACATTTTTGTATAAAATAATCATACGAGCATATTAAATAAAGAGGAAAAACTATGCATTTTACATTCATATCACAATGCTAAATCAGTCTATACCTATTCAATGTAAAATCGACATATGTGTGTGAAAATTCATGTAAATCATTACAAAGTCATAAATTGAATCAATTCCCGACCCTTTATGGTCAAATATTTCCTTTCTTCTCTCGTAAGATACACACGCTCCAAACTTTATTATTTTCACTCTTTCCCCAAGGTACGATATAAGGTTTAATCTGTGATATAATATTAATCCTCACCCTCTCTAGTTTGGTTCAATTTTTGCTAATTACAGTTCAATACGTCAACAAATGCGAATTCTCTTTATTTTTAATTACTTCTATCTCTAAAAATCAATTAACTTAATAATCCCTCGTCAAAAGTCCAATTCTCTCTAATGAGTGTTCGGGCTTACTCAAGACATGTTGCAGTTTTTTTTTACACTCCTCTCTATTAAGCTTTCTAAATGACTCTTGTAGCGAGCTTTCAGTTGATGACTCCAACGTTAGACGACCATAGGGCACCATATTTTTAAAGACCTTTACAGACTTACTCACTCAAGCTATAAAGGCTACAAAGAGAAGTTTCACAATAAGAGCGTACTTTTTTTTTTTTGATGATTCATGCAATGCCCCTTTATAAACACTCATTTCCAAAAATCGAACCTCAACTTAAGACTTTAACCTAATTTTCATCTTATTAGTCTCAGACAATCCACACAAAATTTAACATTCATGGAATCCACATCTATTCTCAATGTCTACCTACAACAGCTCAATCTCCCTCGAACTATCTAAAAATTGGTTTAAGGA